CACCTGCAGGGACAGTTACTATGCTTTTATAATTTCAGTTGCAGCTCAGCGGCGTTTGGAACGGGCATCTGCAGGAGGCCCATACTCCTCTAACAAACGGCAGTGTCCCCTTTGTGTCCCGCCTGCCCCTTCTTTCAGGGGCAGCTCCCTGGAGTGGCTGGGGAAGATTTTAAAGTGAGAGGTCATGACAGCTGACGTCCCATCCCCCAAATTGCTCCGTCAACATTTGTCCTCCAAAGGCTACTCTTACGTTCCCATCAACACTGGACTGACTTCAGGTATTTCTTTGGCTCTCCGACCTCTGGAGGCCACTCCACTGCCCACTTCGGTGACTTGCCCTCCTCCACCCTGCACACGATGTCCCGCCCATAATAACATTCCCCTTCCTGATTACATCCGCAATACTTTCTTGCCAAGATGCATTTCAGGTTTGGCCACGTAATAGTTTCATGCCAAAGTTCTTGTTATTAACCCTCCACCACCTGACAAGAATTACATTTTTACAAAGTTAGAATTGTTGTGCCAATGTATTGATTAAACTGTGACCAATAAAGTTCCTCCACCAGTGGCTTGAGACTCGTCATGACTGAGATTAACATGAAAGTATAGTTTTCAGTGTTGATGTTAATTTCAAACATGAAATCTCAAGCCATCACTGAGGGGATTTATTCATCAGAATTTGATAACATTTTGGCATGTATACATAATACCTTTGTAAACGTGACAATCCTGTTGGTGGTGGATGGTAAACAACAAGCATTTTGACATAAAACTACCATGTGGCCTAACCGAAAGCAAATATGAATAATTGCATTTTAAGTTAACTTTCTTGCCATGTTGTGCTTTGAACTTCAAGTTACTTGTCCAATTTCTAGCATTCTTCACACTCATCTGCAATAAGCCAAAACAACGCGCAGAGAACTCGGCCACCAGTCACCGCCAGTGAGCTGCTGTCGATCTTTGCAATGAAGATTTAAAATGGCCATTCGTGTCTTTGTCCTGTGTCCATCCACGGTGCGTCCCGCTGTTGTGAGATTGTTCCTGGTCTAACCGAGACGGCCAGAACCGCACAAGGTAAACGGCAAGTGTCGGGCCACAAAAATGGCAGTCAAATGAAGACGACGCACCAGTAGCACAGGGCTCCACCCTGCTGGATTAGCCTGATGGCAATCACAAGAGTCCTCCCACCACAGGTCCCATTAAGCGCTTAAGGAACTTTTTTGCGTGATTTTTTTTAATTGTCAGAGAACTTGCTTAATCCGCTAGCCTATGAGGCTCTTGCGGTTTCCACGGAAACGTGGCCACGCTGAAAGAAATACAAATAAATATAAAATATAAACACGTTTTGAAAAAACTATTCATTGCGATCAATTAACACACAGGAATGTTATTGTACATGGGAACATTTACACAAAATCCTGCTCAAATAATGTAAACTTCAACATGAGTAACAGTTATACCACAGTATATATAAAAAATAATTTTATAACTACAGTTTAGAGTAAATTGTACATATTTCCCTTACTTGCATTCAGTATACAGCGTACTGGCACAGTAACTAGCTAATTTGTGTTTAAAATAGGAACTTAGTTTAAGGGCCGAGGCAGAAAATATAAAAATCCTACAGAGTGCATTTCTGAAGCAAGCTCAAACTCATTTGAAGCCGACTGCAAACTTTCGGATTCAAATCCACAGACTTTAGTGGTTGGACATTCGGGCAATGGTGCTTCACAACCTTCGCCCATCAGATAATTTTGTATCTCATCGTCCACCGGACTGCTAAGTGCATGTAGCGATTCATGTTTGGAGGGGGGTCACAATTTCTATTGGGATTTTTTTTTTGCCGTCTCATTTATACGGCGTTGTCACTCCCCATTAACCTAAAATGTAACAATATTGTGTTTCATTGGCCTACGTTTGCGTGGATATGAATGTATTTGTATGTACGTCATTCGATAACAAATTGATGTAATCTATGCGTTGCTACAAACCTAATGCCCACCATGTCCACGAGCCAAAGCCTCAAAAACAGGCCACGTGCTCAATCAATGAGTTTACCTGGCCACCACTCAGGCCCGTGCGGCGGGTCTACTTTGGCACAGAATTCCTCAGAGGTTATGAGTTGTTCTGGATTTCACTCATGAGTTCAGGCTATATTTTGAAAATTGGCAGGAAGGCACTCTTTGCGTGAAAAAGGTGGACACAGGCAGTGTGGCAGGCTGAGAGGCTGACAGGCCCGATGGGCGTCACAGAAAACACTCAGCACAACACTGGGGTACCGTGTTAGAGGCAGCATGCTGCCACTGTAAGAGATTGGTACAGTGAATCCCATACTATTCCTCTGACTTTCATAGGCAATCAGATTTCTGCTACTTAACATGTACCAGTTGATTACTTGGTATGATTTACTTATTTCATTTCAAGTAAAGAAACTCTTATAAAAATAACATGTCATTTGGGAATTTACCAATCCAGTAGCTTGAGTTTATGCGAGGACAGCAGCAGTACCCAATGAATAAAGCAACCAATTAATGTCATCACAGAGCCCATAATATCACAGCAGAGCGCTGTTCATCATGGGCTTAAAATAAACGTGCTAATTTGAACAGGCAATCATAAAAGTAATCAAGCAATCAACTGACATTTCTATCGAGATACCAGATTATGTTTTAAGTTGAAATCGTTTTCAACAGAGTGAGCAGAGACCGTTCCTTGTGCGAGGTCGCCCTCTCAGCACCACGCACACATGCGGACAAGAGGCGACCATCGCAACCGGTACACGGTCGGATCGGGCCCCAGTCCAATCTCCCCTCGGCTCTTGGCAGCAGCAGCGGCAGCAGCATGCACAATCGACATTCAGGAGGTGGATTCTGATTAGAATGGTTGGAGTTAGGAAGTGGGTAGGGGTGGAGGCTGGGTTATTAGTCCAGGGCCATGACCGGGATTGCGTGGAAGGCACCGCTCTATGATCGATGACAGGGTTGGTAGGACCACCAAAGGTTATGGGAAGAGTGGAAAGTTCAGCGTTGCAGTTAAGGCTGGCCGGGCAGACATGAGTGAGCAGGCATGGCCGATTGTCTTTTGCAATCCTCAGTGCTTGCGCTTAAAGTGTGCCTCGGCTGTAGACATGAAAAGAAGGGAAAACAGAAACAATGGAAACAAAAGAACAGATATGAAATAGGGAACCACCGAGCCCGCATGCAGGTCATGTCACCGCGGCCCCGTCGCCAGGATTTCCCGCACACGTGTTAGTGCCGTGTACCCAGACAATCGGCACCAGACCCCAGCACCGCGGCCCAAGCACCAGGCCCATGAGTTCCATGCAAAGGAAAGAACATGCCAAGCAAGGCCGACGGCATGCTGGTCGTCGTGGGGAATGGGTTCGCGGGATGAGGCGAGGGGTAACGGGGGCAAAGAGGGGTGCGGGTTGAGAGGGTCATGGGTCTGGAAGTCGGCCACGAGCCAGGGAGGAGGGTGCAAGAGAGCGCGGGGTCGACTGTTGCCATGAGCAAGGCATCTGTGGTGAAGGCAATTTTGCATGGACACGACTTACCATGAGAGGTGACACCAGGAAGAATTTCACTGCTCCCCTATTCCATTTCAATTCCCTCCTTGGCAATCACCTCACAATATCCATAATACCGAATCCCTAATTATAATACCTTATCCATAATACAAAATTTGGTCCTATTTTTCAAGCATAATTTTCGCTCTAGACTTAGTCTAGTAGTCATTTTAAAACTTTAAAACTAGCTGCGAGCATTCGTCAGAACCCTCATGATGAGAAGTGAGTGATGCGTACTTTACTAGCTCTCAAAACATTTCCTTTTATAGTTTTATTCAATTGCTTTAATATTATAATGTTTATTTTCCACAATTCTTTCCACATATGCTATTGGTACCACATCACCATGGGAAAAGTTATACGTTCCAAAATCTCAACCAGAGAATGGCCGACTTCTGAAAAATCCTTTAAGTGGCTTATTTATCCATTACACAGTAGGGTGGGCACTTTCCAACACTCTGCTATGAGAGTGTCACATGACAAAATGATACATATAATTCTCAGAGCTGGAATTTAGCCAAATTAAGTGCAAAACCAACCCTCAATGTGTTTTTTGTTATTGCAGTCATTGTCGAATGAGCTGAGCTAGCTAACCACCCGCTACACGGGCTGCCTGGATTCATAGCCAGGATCTCAGCATTGCTCGCTCAACGCTTTGACCTCCAAGCTATCCGGATCGTCGGTCGGGTTCATTTAATCCTAGTGCAATTGAACGGGAGCCCCTTTGGTTTATGGCCCTTAAATTAAATTTAATGGCGTTTACTGTCCGGTCTGTGGGTTGTTTGGCTTTATAATTGAGATGTAGTCTCGTGGCTCAGACGGCTCAAGTACGGCTGTGTCAGAGCTTATTGAGAGCGAATAAGGGTTGCTTTAATTTTCGGATCCCAATGAAAGGTAATGGAACTACATTAATTGTTTTTTTATTACCCATATAATGGGAGTGAACTTTGGATTTAAACATGTCGAATTTTATACTCTTTGGCTCTTTCGGTAAAGTCACGTAAGTCACCGAAAGAACCAAAGAGTATGGATCCTTGCAGTCACGAAAACTTAAAATCTAGAAATGTCGAATTTTTTGGGAGAATTTCAGAACTATTTAATATTTTCAGATCCTTTCCACTATATTCTGCAATTCATTTAAAGGTCTTTGTCCAAACTTAGTGAGGTCACCTGATACCGCGTGACGTCACTTTTGGCAGAAAAAGCGTGAGAGGGTCACTCTTCACATGTCACGGTTTTCCTATCAGTCCAAAAACAAATCTCGAATCGTCCCAAATTTCGCATTTAGGCGTGATTTCATGGATTTCACGGATTAATATGAAAATTGGGAACAATTATTTACAGACAGTAGGCCATTGCACCACATAACATGCAGCAATGGGATGTACGACAAAGGCTGAATGACCGACCGACTTGCCACGACGACACCACTCACCCGAGTACTCCTGTGGCGACATGGGGCGCATGATGACGCGGTGGAAGTGCGTGATCCACTGTGCCTGCTCATCCTCGGTGCGGCAGCCCAGCACGTACTTGCGCTCGGGCGTGACGATGGTGATGCCGTACGCCCAGTGATGGCCCTGGAGGCCCGGCGGGAAGCCCTCCAGCACCGCGTAGCCGTGGTCGCCATTGCCCAGGAACACCTCGCCCTTGGCAAACGCGTCCTTAGCCCGGCCACAACCGCATGCGCCACCGCAACCGCCGTCCGGCATGGGTGGGGAGGAAAAGCGTCTCCGTTAGTTATTGTATAAGCTAGAGGCACTCTGGTGGCTTAAATCATTCATATCGACCTTGCCAGTGCCCTGACACAAGACAAGCGGTTCTACCCCCGTCTGGGAGCTGACAATGGCCATTTCAGAGCAATTGCCAAAATCCTGGGTTAAAACGACGAAACTCTCCAACACTAAAAAAAAAAGTTCCGCCACTTTCACGAGCATTGGGCGGTGTTCATTGCCGTTTGTGGCCCTGAGGCAATGGTGGAAATTCCACGTTGCTTTAGTGGCAGTCAGGCATTGTTGACTTCCCACAGAGGGGTACTTATTTTTAAAGAGATTGGGAACGTCAAGGGGCTGAATTGGTTTAATTGACTCCCAACCAGGATTTTAACGCGTGCAACTTTCCCACTGCGTGTTGAGCAGCCTATGGATGTACGTTGAACTTATTTTGCACCGTACGTAGCCAACCGTGATAATCGGAGGTGCGGGGGAAGGACAAACTATATAATTTTCTAATTAGATTTAAGTGTGCATAACTTCAGTGGCTTTCTAATATTGGAAGGAAGAGCCTTCCAGACGGCCGCAGAAGCGCATCTGAAAGCACGCGATACAGTGACCGTCTTTATTGGATGGTCAGCCCAACAAGTGGTAAAGGACCAATGGGAGTCAGTGAAATGCAGTGGATGTGGTCCAGGCAGTCCTATGGGTTTGGGGGGTTGGAGTGGCCCCATTTTGCAGATTGAGGTGGCGGGGCAAACAAGAGACTTGAATCCCCACTAAAATCTCTGAATGGAGGTAGAAGCGAATGGACTTGTGCGAGTACAATCTATGTATACATGGACTGTAAAATAAAATAATAAACAAATATAATGTACCGTACTGCAGATTACTACTGTAAAGGCACGGTAACTAAGTTGGATGTTAATTTTTTTTATAATTGTAATCTGAGGCATGGATCCAAACCCACGAAACTTGCTTCATTAAACCAAGCTGCCTTGTGTGTCGCATTCCCTCGGCTACAGCTCCTCTCTAGCAGCCCGTGCTGATTTTTCCTTGACGTAGCCTGCATCAGCACCCGCCCCCCTCCCACAGTCGCCCCCCATCTCGAGTCGGTGAGTCCCCCCCCTATGTGCAGCATCGTGGTGGTGTGCATGGGGCGGTGCTGGCGCCCACCAGGGGATCCTTGAAATACATGAGGCGCCGGTCGGCGGCATCCAGCGTAAACCAGCGTCGCCGGAAACTCTCCTTTTGCTGCCCACGCGGAAGGAGCACACGCAGCCCAGCGAACCAGCCGGTGCATGTACGGCACACACACAACGACAAAGATCCCCCGGCCGTTTAGCCTATGCAAGTTGTCAGGGCCCACGCAAGTGCTGTCAGCCAGCGCCTATTACGGCCGGCATGGCACACAAGGCGGTGGTTGTGACAAGCACCACACCCGGCCACCTTTGTGTCTCTCCCCAGTGGTTATGTTATAACACATTGCACCAGTTACTCATTTAAGGCCGAGGCGACCTAGCGGAGGCCCAGTACTGATTCAAATAGGTGCCACGGATATTAGCGAAGGTTGGAAATTGAACTCCGGTCGCTGTGTTATTAGCGCAGTGTGCTAACCACGACGCCAATGCTCCCTACTGTATACACAACTTTCATTTTGAAACTGTCAAGTCAGGAAATTAAACATCTCCAAGAGGCACACAATTACACACACACTGAGACAAGTACGGACACGGTCACGACTCGTGTTTGCACAGGGAACTACTGCGAGCCACATCTCTCTCTGCACTAAATACATTTCAATCTGTAGACCGCCGTGCAGAATGCAGTGCATGGGATTGTGCATTGAACTGCACACGACTGAGGAGTTTAGCGTAATGCTAATCCCCACAGTAATCTGTAGACAGGCGTGGAGATTGGTTCAACACAAAGGCTTGTGGAGATGTGTCGATTGTGTTTGACAGGTGTGCAGTCTTCCTTTGAGTGTCAACTGTAACAAGTACCAGAAGCCTGTGCGCCACGCTCTGTTGTTGGAATAGCACTACGTCACCATGTGCGCGCTGTGCTTTAGTTTCCCATGTGAAGCCGCAGGCTGGAAGGGTGTGTGTCATGGCATGCGTACCTTGGGCCCCGTCTTCTCCATGTATCCCTCCTTCACGTAGTTCCTGGTGAGCCGTGGCGTTATCTGGCAGATGCGACGGCAACATCCTCAGCAGTTAAACACAAAGCCTCAGCGAGGCGACCTCTCCGGTCAAGCGTTCGTCACGCGCTACTCTGGATGTCTTCAGCAGTGGATTCAATGCGCAGCCCAACCGAGAAAAACACTTGGATTACAAGCCGCTGAGAAAATGTACGCGTTAAACCACCCGCCCTCCACAGAGGAAAGTTACGTCAGCTATTAGCAGGAATATCAGGCAATTTTTTCTTATTATTGTTAAGCTTGTTTACCCAGGAATACCTCAGCAAGACTCCAGACTAATTTTCAGGAGAGTCCTACCAAGTTGCCTCATTTTGGTTTGTCAAGTCTTAGAAGCTCTAGTATGCAATGTGTGGCAACGTCATGAATACTAATCAAGTGCACCATGCCATGCATATTGATGAGCAAGTGGGTGGCGGCGTCTCGCAGATGAAACGGGAGCGGGCGAGCGCTCGTCAAACCGTCGACAAGCCAGACCCCTGCCCAACCGCCACCCGGCTTCTCACTTGCACGAGAGAACGGCAGTGGCGGTCAGAGCCAAAGAGCTCTTTAGTTGACACTTTAAGCACCACAGGCTATGAAACAAATGACAAAAGATATACGTTTGTGACTGTCGCCGTTACAAGCAGTGTTTATGTGAAACCAAGATGGCCACTGTAGCCTTTCTGTATGTGGAGCTCGTCAAGGTGCAGAGAAAGTACACTGTATATAAACGTGAGCCCGAATACAGCGGCGAGCGGTAATGTTTCCTCTGCCCCAAATTGGCACCAACAGTTGACTGCTCACAAAAATCCCACGGACTCATGGAAGGATCCATTTCCTCCATTTAAACTGGTAACAACCAGTAGAGATTTTTCCATGGGAGGTAAACAATCACTACAACAAACAGCAACACAAGTTCCTGAGGCCAAAATAACTCATATTGCAGAAATCTAAATGCAGGTCTGGGCTATGTAACTATAACTGATAAAAGGATGTGTAAATCGTAGACTAGTGTTTCCTTGCGAGTATTGGGTCTAAACAGCACATTCCACATCGACTGTGAAAGTGCGATGTTCAATGTAAACAGATGCAACAATGTAAACAGATGCAACATTCATTAAAAATGAATGTGGAACATCCATATTTAGCGTTGACCTACAGGACTCGGCTTATGAAGTTACATCTTAAGTCATATGGGTTTTGCTTTTTGAGTTTTTGGCCTGGCAGCCGAATGATAATAATGAATAATATTTTGACGTGTAACGTGCAGCACAGTATTCACTACTCACTCTCGGAGAAAGAGTACGATTCAGAGGCACGTGAAGGAACCATAGACAGCAAGCAGGAAGGCAGCAGCCACACGGTGACCTGGCACTACCAACAATTTCCCCCTAATATCTGAACCCTCTTTCGTTCTCAGACATCTGCAAGTTGCAGGGTGGGTGTCCCGTTCACCACTTAATCTCTGAGAGCGCAAGCGGCTCAGCGTTAATTTTATGAAGAGAGGCGTCGTAGCGCCGTTGTTCATGAATACATTGTACTCACCGGAGAGAACCGGAGCGACACGACTGCACTCTATGATAGCTGACGCCAAACTTGTCACACTCCCTCCCCCGCATGGCCTTGTGGGAGCCTCGGTACCGATAAAGTTAGTTTATTTTCGTTTTTCTTCTGGTTCCATTCCGATGACGTACACGGGAAAACTTTAAGATGTTTTCAGCCAATTAATGTGTGTGCATGCAAGAGGAAACCGGAGCACCCGGAGAAAACCCAGGCATGTGAGCACGCAACACCTCTATCCCATACAGATGAAACACACGGATATTAGTTTACACTTATACTACCTCCTCCTGGCGAGCCAGGGTCTGTCCACCTCGACAGCTCATGGGAAGGGAGTTTCACAACGTTTGTGTGACCCCCCCAACCCTCGCTGCTGCTTCCAGTGCTGGATTACAGGTCACGTGCATGGCGGCCACCACCACCTGCCTGTAATCTCCAACATGGTGGCTCTGTGAATAGGGCTCTTGCCACACAACTGGAATTCCACGAGATAAAATCCTGGTCGGGAATTCATTCAAGCCATCACCTCCGCTTAGGAGTCTTATAAGATATATAAAACTGCACCAGAAGTCACCAGCGGGAATCTTGTGGTGTGAGCGAGGCCAATCACACGACTGTAGGTTCCACCACAGGCTCAGACGCCACCGATAAAGACGCGCGCCGCCTCGCTGCTCGTCTGAGCAAAGATTCTTGAATTCTTCCAAGAGACACTTGACCTCTCACCTCCTTGTCGACCGTGCCTGGGTAGGCCACCTTCAGGTAGTGGTACCGTACGGCGCGGATCGCATTGAACCAGTCCACGATCACCTGTGCACACACAACGTGCCGCACACCACGATTCTCCATTGAGTTTGGATTTGGCCGTGTAATGATTTTGCCAAATTTGTGTCGCTTAGACCCTCCATCGCCCAACACAGTCAAACATTAAAAATGTCTTAACGACGCCACTTTGGCGAGATCGTTACGCGAGATCAACCCAAAAAACAATTACAAATCATATTGGCTGAGAAAATCCAGGTGTGAAGTTAATAATACACCATTTCACACACCAACAAACAACTATATCACATATACCACACCAAAAACCACATCCAACAACCACATCACATACCAACTGACACACATCACACAAATAACCATATGTCACACACACCACAAAACCACACCAAAACAACAGACGCCATTAGCCACAAAGTGGCAGTGACGTCACCACGGTGCCAGTGTCAGGCCAGGTGCACTTTGAGGCCACGTGAAGTGTCGAAGGCTCACTGACTGGAGTTCATGGGACAGACCCATGTGCCATTGGTTGGCTGACTGAGATGACTGGCAGATGCACTAGATGTGCCCCTACTGTGCTAACTTACTGCATTTTAGCTGCTCGGTGATCCCCTCATTGTTTTGAGCATCGCTTCTCCACCCTCTGCATTTGCTGGAGGGCATCTGTCTCAAACTGTCCAGTGGTATCATTCATGAGCCTCTTCCACAAAGCGGATGTTGAGACCTCTGGCACCAGTCTTCAGCAAGTGCACTCAAGCTCCACATCCTCCTGTACCACATCAGCCCATCTCATTTCTAGTCCGTACAGTACCCATTTAGCTCCCTCGATCCAGCCAAACAAGCTGCTTGGGCATGCGTTGGCTGGGCATGCGTTGGCTGGGCATGCAGGCGACATGACCCAGTCAACACAGCCTTGGCTACCGGAGGAGCTGACTGATGGATATGTGACTAGCTATTTCAAGAAACTGTGAGCTGCTCACACAATCCAGTCTGGTTAAACCCAGGAAAGATCGTAGGCAGGCCAACTGGTGCAGACATTCCATTAGAGGGGTCCACGTTTTGCAAGCATAGGCAAGGGAGGGCATAACTGTGGGAGAAGAACCGGAGTTTCATGTGGAGAAACAGGTCGCGTAGCTTCCACACAGTGTTACACAGCTGAAGATAAAATGCCCCTCTGCTGATTCAGAGTGATACCTCTGCTGCTAAACCGGAGCTAGTCACAAGCACACTGCCCAGTTACGGAAACTTCTCCACCCTCTCCATAACTGTCCCATCACGAATGAGAAGTTGAGAAGGTGCAGTATTTGACGACATAAAAATATCCAGACAGGTGCTTGGTTTTTGTGGAGCTGATGGTAGGGCCCTATCTCTGAGTGGCATGTTCCAAGTTCAGCAGCAGCAATAATTACCAGACCAGCAGCATGCATAACATAGTTCCCCAAAAGGCAGCCATTCCTTGAGCGCACCCGGGCATCGATCAGCCTCCCATTGTATCTGTACCAGACGGAAATTCCTCTGGTACAGCCATGGAAAGCTCTAGAGCTATGTGGTCAATAAAATGTGTTAAGTAATGTAGGAGCCAGAAGACATCCCTGTCGCACCTCAAGATGAAAATGGAATGTCTCGGACTCCCAGCCACGCAGCTTTACCAGGACCTGCCCACCATCATGAAGGCCCTTAATGATTGTGACCAGAGGGTGAGGGACCCAAACTATGTAGAATAACCCAGAGCCCTGGCCTAATGATGGTATCATAGGCCTTGACCAGGTGAATAAAGCAAATATGTAGGTGCCGTTGAAATTCCCTACAACTTCTGCTGTAGCAGATGGACAGAGAATATGGTGTCGGCTCAGGACCACCCCGGTCTGAAATCACATTGGGGCTCTGCAGATCTTTCCTCCACGTGCTTTGCAAGGCAATGTTGAACAATCCTTGCCAGGACCTTTCCCGGCACACGGAGGACAGATATGTCCCAGTAGTTGTTATAATAAGTACGGTTCCCCTTCTTAAAAAGGAGACCACCAGGGCATTCTTTAAATCCTGTAGTCCAGGCAGTTGTTATTATGCCATATCAATAAGTCTGTACACAAATGTCACCCTCCATCAACTATTCGCTTAGGAGATTATTTCTGCTCGGCACTTTTTCTGGTATCAGACTTCCTGATATCTCTAGAACAAGAATTGGAATAGATGACAAAGCCTTTGCCGTTGCAGCACCAACGTTTTAAAACAACCTTGTTTCCTCCCATAAGATTGTAAAACTTCCTTTAAAAATATCCTGAAGCAGAATGTTAGTGCCAGATGCAGCGACATTTGCAAATTTGATTTGTAACTTTGAACCTTACCCATATATTGAAAGTTACATTTTAATGTGCTATGTGATTGAGGGATTGTGTGTTGTCTTGGTGTGGTCTGGGACTATTGTTGTTTTGCTGCGTTGTGTAAGCTTGCATTTGGTGTTGACAAATCGGCAGGAATTTTAGGTACTTGTGCAATTTGTACTTATTGATAGTTATTTATTTTTACCGACTTGCTTACCTTTTCTCTATCTTACACTCATATCGTCTTTTGTATTTGTTGTTGATGTAACTTGCTGACCCACCCTACTGGATATCTGTAAAAAAGAGCTTCATAACTCATGGGATTCCTCCAAGATAAATAAAGATTCTGATTCTGGATTTCTCTTCATACTTTCTCAACAGATTGCAGATCAGCTGGCCACTCACATGTGGTGGCTATTTCCTCCAATATTTGAGGCACATCAGCCCTAGTAAGTTCATTTCCCACCTTGCCCCATAATATTAACTGGGCTGAGGGATTTTCCCTCCCACAAGACGTAATAGAAATGCTCAGCAAACCTGCAGACCTGTTCCTGGGGGTCAGAGATCCCCATTCTTTCCCTTACGAATGGTAATAAGTGTGGCACTGCAAGTTACGTTTTTTATAAAATTAAAGAGTTATTTGTGATCGCGAGCTACTGAGGAATTTTCCATTTCCTCAACAACCTGCAACCTTCACTCTTCCTTGCAGCGCTGCACAGCTCTCTGAACCTCCGAGTAAAAGCTTTTTTGAGCCTCCTCATTCTCCAACGTGGGATGTTGTAGACCGTGGGAGGCAGCCTGTCGCTTTCTTTCAGCTAACCGGAACACCACATCTGTCCACCATGGTCTCAGATAATCATCACTGGTGTTGGTCGTGACCGAGAATCGAACTTGGGTCACCGAGTTGTAGCACAACGCACTAACCATTGCACCACTGCTCCACAGGCACCTCACACCATATCACACACCCCAATATCAAACAACATCATACAACCACATCACACATCATACCACATGTCACAAATCAACATCCCACGCACCGCACAACGCACAGGTCAGAAAATCCCCAGCGTGACCGCCAGCAACATGAAGAGGCAGCAGAGCGAGCAGCAGCCATTGGGTACAGGGAAGTGGGCATTGAGTAGTGAGCGTTGTGCATTTAGCATTGAGCAGTGGGCAGGGTCAACTGGGCAATGGTTTGTGAGCAATGAGCGTGGGGCAGCAGGCCCACCTTGCCCTCCTCGTGGTAGACGAAGAGGCTGCGGGTGCTGCCATCCTTCAGGTAGGTGACCTGCAGGCCGTTGGGGTTGCCGATCTTGTCCGGCTGGAACGTTGCATTGATCTCGGCGATTTTCAACTCGCCCTTGGGCTCCTTCGCCTGCCGCGGGCATGGGGCAACGCATCGACACTTGGTCACCAAACCTACTTTGCTGCACTGCCTCTTGCAGGTAGTACAATAATAATAACTTTTAACGCGCACAATTTTGCTAATGGACGAAAAAGTGGAAGAGCAAATCACAGGTGCGGAGCCTAGCTCAGAGTTGACAAATATCTCGGAGCCACGTCTCTAGATGACTCTGATGATATGTATTATTGTTGGCCAATGAGTTCGGGGTGGTTATAGGACCTAACCTTGCGGAAGGCAGGATCCCTACCGGCTATTGGGGGGTAGCCGCTGCACAAGCTGGCAAACGGCGCATTAGCACACACTCTGCTTTGTGGCCTTTTACGTGTCCTCAGCTATCAGCTACTCTCGTCTGTAAGTTGCTGAGTTGTAAGCTAACTACTTCGAGTCCGTAACACGAAGTGAGGCCCTGCATCCCGACATCAGCCTTCATTAAAACTGCAACACTTCGTTGAGCGAGGTGGGTGCAATTTCCAGACCAGTTAATGCAGTAAGTGTTAAGGTGTCCCCGAACTGAAACCAAACTTCGGGGCCTAGGTAGGCTGCCTGTCGAATAACGACTTGCTCCGGTGGAGCCCCGGGGCCGTCTAGAATTGCGAGGGATACGAGAATATGTGTAATAATGCATTGCTCCACTGGTTCTGGGGAGTAGGTGACCCGACCTCCCCCCTGATCAGACCTCCAGGGCCTGGCTGTTACAAACTCGGCTTCCACACCGTAGTGAAGCGTACAATGTTTAAACTGGGATCGTTCACGGGCTTCCGTCGACATCTGTACGACATTTTTCTCGTCTGTGACGGTGTAGCCTTTTTATATCAGCCGTTGATTTTATACCTGGGACAGACATTTGTTTCCCATGGTGTACAGAACAGGCCACTGAGTCCAACGGTAACTCCGCTTTATCTCCTGCCCGGTGGCTTCACGCACCTGGCGACCCTTGGTCCACCGCATCCGTTATCTGATACGCGCAGGCCAGTCGTATTAGTAGCAGTCTCCACGACCGGAGTGCGCATTGTTGCGCAGGTGAGTTAATTCCTCAAATCGACGACTAGGTCGTCTGGGTTCTGGATACGGGCTAAGCGAGTCAAGGCCTCATAAATTAGGTACACTAACGGGGAATCCCCAGAAGATTGTCTGATGGGCTTGGGGGGATACGGGCCACCGGAGCCGCATGACGCTACTAGCGCGGGTAGTGAATCGATACCTAACTGAGCGACGGCTGACGACCTGCGGGGTGCCTCCGAGACTAGTGCTCACAATCTACAGAGCACGACGAGTTCCTGCTGCAGGAACCATTACGCAACATCTCAATAACACCACTCAGTCAGACCCCCTGCAACATATTTATAGCTTTATCAGCGAGTCCCCGTGGACCCTGGGCGTATAGCAGTTGCTCATCCCTATATGTCGATGCCAAAGGCTTACCTAAGGTTTATGGGTGGTGAAAATCGGGGACATCGCGTAGCGGAATCTCCACTTTCTTAGACATGTGCGTGGAGTGCTCCATACGCTGAACGCCGGAGTACAGTCCGAACCAGCGTGGTTCGCCGATTTTGCCGGGCATCTATGTACGAAGGGTAAACACACTTACATTGACCTCGACAGTGGTACTCGTAGAATGAAATTCTGTATACGGCTGTGGCCCAGCCCGTCAAGCGGCAAAAGATGGGGATTGACACGGTGAGCGCGTGCCGAGTACTGTAGGTGGGAATATCTAGAGTTTGTACACGGTGGGCTACCCGGATTTAAGATTCCAAGAGGTTAAATTGCCAGGAGCGACGGTCTATGAGCTCTCTACATGTTTCAGAAAGGTCCTAAAAAGTGCGCTTGTTGTCCTTCGTGAATGTCAAGAACATTCGAGCGCTGCAGAAGCCAAGGGGTCAACCAGAGTCCCCTGATTGCGGCACTCGCATAGTTTTCATCCCCTTTCCGCATGGGCGCTGGTTCCTTTAAGAAGTCCGACAGATGAGCAACATATTAATACTGACGCTTGATTCAAGCGGAGTATATAAACGGGTTGGACTGTTGTCGCCCTAGCAGCTAGGACATACATTAACGACCTGAACAATATAAGTTCGCAGCGTGACCTTGGTGGACAGATGTGATAGCCGAAAGCAGGGGTAACGATACATTTGGTTCTTACGCCTCAGACGTAATCCCCTGACGGATAGGGTTAACAATACGGCTCTTGGGAATTGTGTCAAGCGGAATCTCCCGTCTTCCAATTCCAATGTGCAGGCCAGCATATTTTATGATTCCAAGAAAGCTGGCATCAGCTTGGCATCCGAGGATATATTACAAATCGCACGAAGGTTGATAGGGACGTAATTCTTTCGAAGCAGCAAGCTAAGGGCTGCACTAAGGCACCTTTGTTGGACCCGCATACGCGGAGCATTACTTCGGACAGCCTAATTCGGGACGAATCTGCGGATACGGTGAGGCGAGTAGAGCATGGACGTTTAGTCATATTTGAAAAGCTAGATGAACCTCAATGGGGTAAAAAGCTATCAAGCGGACGGCACGGATTAAGGTATCCATAGGCGGCTACCATTTTTCTGCGGTGGAACCACTGGAAGCCCTAGGGGGAAAGTTTGACGCTAGCACCTACCGATTTGATGGCCGATTGCACTATTGTAATGGCTGTGTTAAAAGACCTACAAGGGCGGATCTATGTTAATTTACGCAATAGTCAAAAAATTCCTACGCCAACTCAGAGGCAAGTAGACACTCGGATGGCCTTGACGCGCTATTCGGTCATTACTATACCAGCGCTTTGTCCCCGTCCTCTTGCATTGGGTGCTCGAGCTCAACCAGAAAGTAAGGGACGAATGTTTGGTCTTTAATTAGCGAAACCAACCCTCATCATCAAGACCTACATTTTTCTTATTCGGGGTTTTTAAGTGTCACAGAGTTAATCCGCAACGTAACCAGAGACCCGGCCCTCCACACACTATGGGCTGGCAAGGACCGACTTTTCTCATACGCGAATTTGTGTCGTTGAAGTACGAGGAGGCAAGGACAAGCCACAGCAAGCAAAAGAGGGATCCGAGATTTCCCGTAAATTTCATCATCTCGATAATACAATTGCCCACTATAATTCTTGGGAGCTTACAACAGATCTGAAGAGAATACTATAAGGAACCGCCTGCCTCACAGCAATTAACACGTTTTACTCTACCTAATTCGTACTCCCTTCGACGACACGACCCCGACCGTCCTCTATATACGAGAAGGCTCTGCTAAGAGATAGACTTCCGTTCTTCCAACCAGCTGACAGCCCTGCCGCTCGATGGCAAACGCACTCTTCATAACTGCCCCTATTCCCGTGAACTAGTATTGCGGCTCCGGGAATGTAATTAAACCCGCTCACCACGTTTGTGATGCAAAAGTAATATTCTTCGCTTCATCGCATGCAGATGAGAATGCGCTCGTTATTTTTGATGAGAGAAGTGGGTGATTTCCTGGTCGCCGTCCGGAACTAAAGAGCCTACTTGCGTCACCCCTGGGTGTAATGAAATGGGTGAAGACCACAGGCAGACAGTCGAGTATTCCGAAGCTCCTTCAAGACGAGCCGCGCGTTTTCAGGCCTCACGTACTTTTGTTGCGACCATTGACTGTCTTCACGGAGCGGTCTGGAAAAAAAAGAGCACCATAATCGGTTACGGCGTTTGGTTCGTTAGCCACGCCACCCACTGTCCAGGCACGCCCCTCTTCCATGCCAACTTCTTTGTCTGGAGTACTGCTTTGATCCGGTTTGCCTAATGAACCCAACTAACCCATTGCCTGACTCGGAGTTTTAATTAGTTAGAGTAGGGGTCTTATCCTACTGCCATCGGTGAGTTATACCTGTCGCAAATGATGCCCATTTACAAGCCTATTTACACCCTAAACTGACAACGTAAACAGAAGCGAATAGTTTGCTCCATGAGCTGTAGAAACGTTGATTTCCGTAGAGCAGGCTGGAGCCCATCTGTCAAACAAAGATGATACACTCGCACTTAACTGCTTCCAAAGGAGTCCTCGCCATGGAACAAACGTACGCGTGGAAAAAGTTCTGCTATTAGTGGGGCGCTCATTTCCAATTGTAAGCTAGCAAAGTGTGAAAATAACTCTGATACCGGTTCGAACCATAATTGACTGGTTGTAAGACAGCTAGATCGTCCGTACGCACGCCCTGGCCACGCCTAGTTGGCGTATAACAACTGGTGTGCTGTTTTTAGCCACAACCGGGGTGTCGGACCGGATAACTCATCAGTGGACGGATGGGCCGCGCTGAGTATCCTGGTACTCTGGTAGATACCGCAAATGCGTAGCGACAGATTAGACTTTGTGGGAAGAGGACCTAGGACCTATCGTGTCGATAATCTTTGATAAGCTGATTTCGATGCGCCAGATAACTTACACGGGGATACCACTGCTCCGCTGTTCCTTTTTCATCGTTCGGATCCCGGCTAACAACCCGAATTTCCTCAAAATACGGATCGGTTTCGCCCGGATTCATGTGAGAGGAAAGTAACTTCCGCGGCGCGAGAGAGACGGTTGCAGTCCAGGGCTCCAAGTATCACCCTTAGCACTCTTCAAACCCTCCTGATCTGACAAATACTGCTTTTTTTCGAGTGGCTCGATAGCGTTTCTGCGACCCGCGAGCACACTAGGCGTGTTTGTGTGCGAGAGATGGAGGTTTCGTGTTTGCTGCCCCATTCTACGTGAGCGAAAACAATCGTTTGATGAAAAATCGAGCTTACGCGTAATAAAGCGATAACTCGGATAACGTTACTAGAGGTATATTGAAAGTCGTTCAGTTGTCTACAAGCCGGTCTTAAATTGACTGAAGTAAACAAGGCGGTTTCAGATTATTGGAACTTCAACGAAATTCTCCCGTGTCCACCCGTAACCTTAGGCTCCCGCCGGCGGGACCTTCAATCAGTAAGCGGCCTCGGGATTACCCATGCGTAGGGGAATCCTTACCGTTCCATTCCCGTCAGTTCATAACATATTCGCGGGATTGCCACTCCATAAGGTTACGTTGACCTGTTTGTCGATATACCAGGGGGCAGCGGCTCTTGATAGCTGTGACATCCCCGGGGTAAGGTGTTTCTCCATGCAGGGTGTGCGGAGCGCACGAATCAGCACAATCTTTTACATATTTGAATACCGTTGCCGTGCACGAAGAAGGGGGTCGTTCATAACCGATGCCACCCCAGCAATTACCGATGCTATTGATATGTCCGATATAGGCGTAAATTGCAGAGACGATCCGTAAAGATTTGCGCTTTTAGGCAAGAATTTCCCTTTCGCGTGGCATATTTTCATGGCCCCCGAATAGGTTCCGTCGTAAGGGTCTTGGTATGTGGCGGGTTGGGCTCCACCTCAGGCAAGCTCTATCGTCGACTCTAATTGTATCACGGAACGTATAGAATTGTAGACGGCATCCTCTCAAACGTTCCCAAGTGATCGTATGAGTAGCTCACTGCACCGACGGCGTCTGGCCAGGTCTGCGTGCAAGTTAACTACCTATCATATCATTTTGCCACGTGCCTTAAGGATGTAGTGGCAGAGTCTGCAGCGGGACATCGCTGTGGACGAACCCTAAATATGACCCAACTGCCAACAACCGTGGGCTAAAATAAACCCACATCGGACGTCCTGAACCGACGTCTGGGAAGACAGTGTTCACCTATTTAATAGGGATGTGGTGATAGGCGTCTGTACTCGTCCGGGGATAAGGGAGTTACATGTATCTACTGCTCCTCACCGACCTGCCGATTTACGCACTGCCCGTACGTCACTACTATCGTCCGCAGGAATACCAGCATTGAGCCTGTAAGCCACGCACCCAGGTTAAGGTTATAACGGAGACACCACGAAGGGTCATGAACTTCTCCCACAATCTCTATGTAATAATCGCAAACATGTGTCTATATATCGACCCTACATTTCAGGAAGGGCCG